TTTTCTCAGGGCGCTTGAGCGCGCCCTGAACCCCAGCCGTGTCGTCGCTCTCTTTTTCTGGCCCTACAATTTTATTCTGCTGTGTACTTTGGCTCGCCGTCAATCAACTTGGGGAGCCCCTCATGTACATCGTTTATTAAATACATACAAATTTTTTAATAATACAAATAGTTTCATTGCTAATAGCAAATTATTTACCACCCCCCTAAATTTCGAAACACCTCCCCTAAAATAAAAAGCTGGGGAACATACTGCTGTAGTATAAATTCAAATTAATACGCGCTAAGCTAGAATCCGAGATGCAAAAACTCGAAAATACTTCGCCGAGATTATTTTGCCACTGTAACGTCACAATAGTCGGGCGGTAACGATTATAATTCATTATGACGAAACAATTGCATAAAAGTGCGTGTCATACTAAATCTCCACTTTTATGGGTTTCGGAATTCTTAAAATAAAATCTGAGTTAACAGACAGGTGCGCAGCATTACATAAATACCTATTTTTTAAGAAACTCAAAATCGCCAAAAATGACTTACGCAATTCGGTTATTAGCGTGACGATATGTTAAATATAGAACAATCATTCACGACAACAATCGTGGATACAGATTTGGGTAAAAGTTGAACCGCTCTCATTATACCTTCTATATCCTATTACTTTCCACGTATACCTCGTATTTTATACAATGTACATACAATGAGAAGTGAGTTGAGTTCAAAAAGTCATTATAATATATCAATTAGACATTTTATTCTAAATATTATTAACAGAAGCTGCATTGATATTCACAGAAAAATAAAACCTTTATAGCTTTATTTTTCTATTCATTATTTTTAATAGACAGAATCAAAATCGGTTTTGAATAAAGTTCCTCAGCCAGTTGTCCACAAATTTCTTAAAAAATATTTCTTATAACTAAAATTTGGCAAACGATTGCATTCAATTTTTCTCCTGAATATACCAAAATATATATATTATCAATGCTTTTCCTTATACATTTTGTTGTGTCAAATTTACTTTTGCTGGACATATAGGAAGTATTTGAAATAGAGCACTTTGCGAACAAAAACTGTTGCGCGAGAGTGCTGAATTAAATTGCTTTAATTTAAAGTTATTGGTTATTGTAAATCTTCCGGTAGTACTATGTCCACACTTAGTTGAAATATCAGAATCGATTTACATTCTTTCGAATAGAAAGTCGTCAGAAAGGAAGCTAAGCAGATTGCATTTGTAGATTTGTGTGCTCTTTTCTACCAAATTTGACATGTTGCAATATTGTTGTTTAACATCATTGCCCTGACATTGATATACTTTTTCGTTTACCCGACGAGGTGGCTATATCTGAATTTTTACCACTGATTTAGGATAGGTGCTTCCTAAAAGTAAAAATAGGGCAAAAATGTTTAATTTCATATATATATATATCAGTTATTCAAAGAGATGATATTCCGCGCGGTCAACACAACAAGCCACGTGCATGTTTACCGGCACCCATAAAACAACGTGACACGTGACTGGTATATAAATTTTGATGCAACAATGAACTCAAGACAGTTTATTCTGTGTATTTCATTGTTTTTAAATACAAAAGATAAGAAGATAAATTGAGACATTGGACCGGCTCAAATATTCGGCCACCTCCTCTTGGATCGCCCTGCATTGACGACCTTGGCGCGACGCATTTTTATACCTTCCGCGACCCGCGACTTTAAGAAACACTGTTGTGGTGTAATGATAATTTTTTGGTAAATAAAGTAGCTCTACAGAAAAGATGCATCTCTTTGCATAGAACGTTTCGTGGTACATGAGAATGGCTCCAAACTCTCAATCGATACTAAGTGTATCATGCAATGTGCATATCATGTGATCTAAATACCAATCGTATTTTATGTGCCACCTGGTACCACTCAGCGAAGCGTAAATGTCATTCGGTTTTATAAATTCGAATTTCTTAATTTAAAAATTCGCGTTGTATATTTAAGTCAAATCGTAGCTTCCTCGGTACTATCACAACGGCTCGTTTTTTAAGGTTGCGGTAAAATATACGCGCGAGTTACTTCTCACCCCAACTTTTCTATAGTCGTATGAGCAGGCCTGAAGTGTCTGATCATTGTAATCCATTAATGGTCACTCACGGCAACGATACAGTTTAATGGTAATGAGTAGATTTTTGGAGTGTGGTAACAATCAGAATAACTTTTCATTTTTTGATTACCTAAGCTTAACAAATATTATATATATGAGTGTGGACTCGTGAATATGTTAAATATGGAACAATCACACACAACAGCAACCGTGGATACAGATTTAGTTGAAAGCAAAACTTTAATATGGCGCAATAGGCCGTATTTTAATGAAGAAACACGATTTGTCGTTATGTGGGGTAGACTTTAGACAGTTTAATACAAACCTTTTGAATCCAACCTACCTGCCAAGTGTCTGGGAATAGTACTCCACGGAAGGGATTTGTAAAATTATAATATATTCTTTGAATTATACTACCAAACGCTCGTTCATACTTCGAAAATTTACAACTTATGACATAGGAAATATATATAATTCAACAATTGGAAAGTTGATCCGTTCCTATTATACCCTCTATCTTCTATTACTTTCTCCGTATTCCTCGTATTTTATACAATGCACATGCAATAAGAAGTGAGTTGAGTTCAAAAAGTCATTATAATATATTAATTAGACTTTAATTCCAAATATTATTACCACAAGCTGCAGTGATATTCAACGAAATATAAAACCTCAACAGCTTTATATTGATGTTTATTATTTTTAAAGAGCAGAACTGAATCAATTTTGAATAAAGTTCTTTCGTCACTGGCAATAAATTTCTTCAAGCTATTTCAAAGTGTAAAAAATTTAACAAGCAATTGCATTCATTTTTCGCCCGAATATAACAAAAACCAGTATAATATATTATTTATGTTTTCCTCTATATCTTGTTGTGTCAAATTTGATTTTTCTGGAAATACAGGACGTATTTAAAATTGCATTTCCCGATCAAAAAGAGTTACGCGAACGTAGGGATTTGTTCAAAACGAATTTTTATTCTATTTTCTAGACTCAAGTTTTTTGCTTGTTTTATTTAAAATGGCTGTATTATTTGATTTTTTTTTTTAATTTTGATGTAGGTACTAATTTGGTGATGAAGTTGAGCGATGCAAGTTAAAGTCAAAGCAGGAATTTATCGTACATATTCGAAATGGTTATTCTGGCAACAATCGTAGCTGTCAAAACGCACCATTTTGGCGTAGTTGCACGGCGATAAAAGAGGAATTGCAAAAAAAATACAAAATATACATGCCCTTAATTTAAAACGTGACGTTATTTCAGAATTGATAAATAACAAAACCCTACGCGAATGTGCCGCATTGAATGCTTTTAATTATCGTGTCTTTCGAGAGCTATTGGCTCTTTGTAACTCTTCCATTAGTACTATGTCCACCTTCAGTTGAAATATCAGGACGTTGTCTTGAGCATGCTTTGAAAAAGTGCAGCGGTATACACCTATTAGTTTCAGTTGAGTTAATTGTAAGAGGTCGTGTGATTCGGTTTTAAGAATATTGATTTCACAAGCCATTCATTAAATATATATTCCTAGAAAAATGACAACGCAATGAACTCATAGAATTTTTCTTTTTTATTCTAATTCTTGAAAGTGTTTTGCAGAAAGTGTAAAAAATTTTCTGGTCCATTGTTCCATCTAACTACATAACTACATAAATCCTTATAATTTCCTATTACTTAATAGTATCTTAGACAGCCCATTGTACGCTTCTTAGGGCAGGAGATTAGTGTTCCAAATTCCAAGAAGTTTGTGGAAGTACTCAAAAGGTTTATATTATTAATATCCGAACGTGTGAATCGATTTCTATTCTTTCAAAATTAAAGTGGTCAGAAAGAAAGACGACTAGTTTTCTTATTGAATACAATCCAATTTTCTTCTCTGAATTTATTTCCTGGCCTTTTCCTAGAAGTGTCAACCAGTTACGATTTTTTTATGGAATAAAATGATGTGCGAAAGCTATATAAGCATCTATATGCAGTTAGCATTTGTAGACTTGTGTACTCTTGTCTGCCAATTCGACATGTTGCAAGATCCTTGTTTAGCATCATTGGTATACTTTCAAACAACGAGGTGGCTCTATCTGATTTTTAACCACTGGTTCAAGAACTTTTGATGCTTTTCTATATCAATTGAACCAATGAGATCATATTTTTAAAAAGTGTATTTATGTTTAAAATAAAAATGTTTAATTTTGCATATTTCAGTTATTCAATTCTCATACACCAAGGACAACTAATAGTTTGCCTTCTCACGAACACGATGAATTTCTATCTAATTTCATTCTGCTTCTTTCTCTCAGTTTCTGCTGGTAAGTATTTGATGGAAAATCATTAAAATCAACGATGTCTGTTATGAGCATCCATGTTTCACATATTTCATACTCAAACGAAATAATATGACAAGATTAACAAAAAATATGTAATGCAAACTGGTCAGCATCTTGATTTTTTTTACAGAGAGTCAACCTATGTGTCCTGATGGAAGAACTAATCAATATTGCGAACCTTGCGGTGGTACATGTGACAGTCTCGATTTAGGTTATTTCAAAGCATTGCGGAACGGGTACCCAGCACCTTGTCCTCTCATTTGTTTGACAGGGTATTACTGCTCTTGTCCGGAGGGTTACATGCAAAGAAGCGAAAACGATATTGAATGTGTCAAGATTTCAACTTGCATTGCGGAAGCACAAGCAAGTATGATTTACAATCATGTTTAGAGACTGACTAAGTTTACTTGCATTGGGTTTTACACTGTATGTTTTATTTATAAATGAGAACATCAATATACTAGAATTTATATTATGTTGTGGTTATGTGTGGCTGACATATTAAAACTCATATCATTAATTCAAATCAGCTATAAAATATTGCCATACTTCTGTAATAATATTTATGTGCCAAAACCTTACTTTAAGAAATGTGTCCTGCTGGAAGTACATACTCTAATTGCGAACCATGTGAAGGAACATGCGATAATCCAAATATGAAAAGAGAAAATTCACCCTGCACACTTCAATGCAAGTTTGGGGATTACTGCTCGTGCCCAGAAGGACAGATGCAAAAGAGTCCAAATGAACGTATTTGCGTTCCCAAGGCCGAATGCATTGAGGCAAAAAAGAAAGGTACTTTTTTAATGTTACAATTTTCAATTGTAGGCAGAGATTTTGATTAAATTTATGATGAATAGGCAATGACTCAGAGAAAATATTTTACATTTGAACATATTTGAATACTTTACTATTCAATAAATAAATAGCTTTCACTGCCTTTTCTCCCGACCTATTTGCTATTTGTTTCGTAATATTTTTAATATGAAAAATCTGCTTGCATAATGTCAAATATAGTATTGTTGTTCTAATGATTTTTTTATTCCTTTAATTCTCATTTAGAAATGATGGAACACCTTGAGCTTTATGTAAGATACTTATTATTAAATTTTTATTTCTGGCATGAAACTTTTGATTTATTTGCATATGGTATTCGATCTCAGTAATTCGTAATTCTTATATTCGTTCGCGCCTATTTACTCAATACCTTAGTCATGATATTCTTAATTACGCATATCGAAAAATAATAATCAGAGTTGTTTGGACAATGATTTCCATTCGGTGTTCCGCGTCACCCTAGGGTTCTGGCGCAAGTGTCTGCATATTGTTTGAATATTATCAAATAGATATTAGATTTTTGACTGTTATTAAACTTGCTACACTTAAAAGCAATTCAGATAATAAAACACATTTAATCTATTGCACAAGGGTTTCCTCGGCCTATTTTCAATCAGACAATAAGTCAAAGATGATTTAAAAAAAAGTTTTTGGTAATTTTGTTAAAAACACAGCAGCTGGTATGTACCAGCCCACAAAACAGCAATATCTGATTAGATAATTTACTCCTGTCTTACGTTGTGAAAGTGACAAAGTCTGATATTTGTTTTTTTCGTCTCCTGTTTTTTTTTTTATTGTTACAAAGCAATCAGAATCGGAACAATTAGGTGCAATAATCCAGGCTAACAAAAATGTACAAACATTTATTTCTGACACAGAACTGCAATGAAAAGGAGAAAAGGGGACATTGTACTAGAGAATTTGATCCAGTATGCGTTGCTACAGGGTTTTCAGAAGACGGAGAGATTCTGTTCAAGAGTGAAGCAAATAAATGCATGCATTGCGCATTAAGTGAAACGTAAGTAATATAAAATTTGAAAATATTGAAACCGCGTATTTTCAACATGAGATTTAGTATCAAAATTCATTTTAAGCACGATTTTTCTTCCTAGAAACTTGTAGCACTCATAAGAAATTCATCAACTCAGTATTTAATTTAATTTTTGGTCAAGCAACAACGGTCGATTACACTCAAGATGTGCAAAAGTAACTTGTCATATTTATCCTTCCTCGTTTGTCTCCGACAATGAATTTTACTTCAGATTACTCTTTTTTATAAGAAAATATAATTGTGTTAACCGTGTATTCCCCCTTTTTCAGATATCGTTTCTACAAAGGAAGTTGTCAATAGATGTTTTACGCATCATCATCATCATTATCATCACAAGACGATGTGAAGAATTTAATTTTAAACCAGATAAAGAAAGATGCTTATCACCAGAAAAAAAACTTTATGATGTTTGATTTCTCCCCGCTAAATACACTTGAACAATTAATAATTACGACCAGTAAATAACTCATTTAGTGCATGCCTCTTGCAATTAAAGTTTGATTTTCTCGTACAAATTTCAAACAAGTATAATAACATCTATTCATTTCTGCTTCTGTCAAGTCACAGATATAACGTTGTTTGGAATAGTTTATTTGGTGTTTTCATTACCGGTGATAGATGTATGAAATAAATGTAGAAAATAAAGCTCAAATGCTTGATTTAATTTTCTTTTGTGTTTCGAAGGGTAGTTTTTGAGGAACGATGTTTAAAGTAATGAATTGACCACATACAATAGAAAAAAAAAATATAGGCCTTGTTGTATCCTTATGATGAATTTTCGAAGAATAAACTAAGTAGCTCGTCGGAAAAGACGCATCTCTTTGTACAGGAGTTTGAGAAAAGCGATATGATGTGGGGATTGGTATTCCATTGAACAGTTCATATTCAAAACTATAAGTACCGTGTATTTCTTTGTTATACAAAGTTGTGCAGCCGTTAATAGCGCCTAACATACTCTTGCGAACGTCACTATAAGCTGAAGAATTAAAGTTTACGAGTAGCGTGCCTTCACCAGAACCAACTTATTTTGTAATGATTACTATCAACCTAAAGTTGAATTAGGCGTTTATATCGTTTGAATTATCGGGAATACTTGTAAACATCGCTGAGAAGTAGAGGGTGGAAAAATTAAACTGCGCAAAGCTGTCAATTATGTGAATTCAAAAATAGCTTCTAAAAAGGCATTTTGATAAGCTAACATTCACAGTTGCTGGTTAAGCATATATCGGTTGATAAAATGCGAACTGTGTAATCAGCTTCAAACAACATAATCTCTTGTTTGCTTTTTATTTTATTTTAAGAATCTATAGATCGTTAAACAATTAGTGCAATACCCACTTTGATTCACTTTGTCACGCATGTTTTTTAAGAGATAATTGCTTGATTCGCTTGCTTGAAAATGCATGAGCATTCAGCTGTGAATAGCTTATCCTTTGTTACAAAACGCTTTGAAATTTACTGCACACGCAAGCAATTCTGTGCATATATTTAAACAAATTGAAGAATACGGACACATCGCCAAACCAATATTTGCTATTCACTTAAATATTTTTATATGGCGACAGTGGGGAGACAATTAATACGTAAACGAAGCAGTTTTTTAATCATTAACTGGTCATCAAGCACCAACAAAAATTAATTGATATTTTGTGGTAATAACATCACTACCCGTTGACTAAATATGAGCTGCTGATAAAAATTTTCTAAAATCTACTCACGGAAACAAGAAAACATTTCAAGCCTTATCTTAAATTATCTATATACTTGTTGTTTGAACTATCATGTTTGTCCATTTTGCCTTATTCATTTTCGTAGAACAAATATGCTTCGAGACAATATTGAAATATTTTTTATGTTTAAAAATATATATTTCAAAAATATGCACGTTCTGCACACCCACCGGAATAATACTATGATTAAATATAAAGAATAAAACAGCAATGCACCCAATATAAAAGCCAACAAAGGTAAATTGGACCCGGACAGTGAATATCACAAGTGCACGCCTTCCTATACTGTAGTATAAATTCAAATTAATACGCGCTAAGCTAGAATCCGAGATGCAAAAACTCGAAAATACTTCGCCGAGATTATTTTGCCACTGTAACGTCACAATAGTCCGGCGGTAACAATTATAATTCATTATGACGAAACAATTGCATAAAAGTTCGTGTCATACTAAATCTCCATTTTTATGGGTTTCGGAATTCTTAAAATAAAATCTGAGTTAACAGACAGGTGCGCAGCATTACATAAATACCTATTTTATAAGAAACTCAAAATCGCCAAAAATGACTTACGCAATTCGGTTATTAGCGTGACGATATGTTAAATATAGAACAATCATTCACGACAACAATCGTGGATACAGATTTGGGTAAAAGTTGAACCGCTCTCATTATACCTTCTATTTCCTATTACTTTCCACGTATACCTCGTATTTTATACAATGTACATACAATGAGAAGTGAGTTGAGTTCAAAAAGTCATTATAATATATCAATTAGACATTTTATTCTAAATATTATTAACAGAAGCTGTATTGATATTCACAGAAAAATAAAACCTTTATAGCTTTATTTTTCTATTCATTATTTTTAATAAACAGAATCAAAATCGGTTTTGAATAAAGTTCCTCCGCCAGTTGTCCATAAATTTCTTAAAAAATATTTCTTATAACTAAAATTTGGCAAACGATTGCATTCAATTTCTCTCCTGAATATACCAAAATATATATATTATCAATGTTTTCCCTATAAATTTTGTTGTGTCAAATTAACTTTTGCTGGACATATAGGAAGTATTTAAAATAAGAGCACTTTGCGAACAAAAACTGTTGCGCGAGAGTGCTGAATTAAATTGCTTTAATTTAAAGTTATTAGTTATTTGTGACTCTTCCGGTAGTGCTAAGTCCACATTTAGTTGAAATATCATAACATGGTTTTAGTATTTTTTTTTATAAATAGGGCAGTGTTATACATTTATTAGTTTCAGTTGAGTAAATTATTTTTAAGAATATGGGTTCAAAAACCATTCATTATATATATATTCTTAGAAAATTTACAACGCAATGAACTCATAGTATTTCTCCTTTTTTATTCTAATTCTTGAAACTGTTTTGTGGAAAGTGTACACAATTTACTGGTTCATTGTGCCTATGAACCTAGAAACTACGGAAATCCTTATAATTTCCTAGTAATTTATAGTATAATTTCCTGTGACTCTGTGGTCAAATTAAGCTTAGTTCATTGTGCGCTTCTTAGGGCAGTATAGTGTTCCAAATTCCAAGAAATATGGGGTAGTACTTAAAAGTTTTATATTTTTAATACCTGAATGTGTGAATCGATTTACATTCTTTCGAATAAAAAGTCGTTAGAAAGGAAGATAAGCAGATTGCATTTGTAGATTTGTGTACTCTTGTCTACCAAATTTGACATGTTGCAATATTGTTGTTTAACATCATTGCCCTGGCATTGGTATACTTTTTCGTTTACCCGACGAGGTGGCTATATCTGAATTTTTACCACTGATTTAGGATAGGTGCTTCCTAAAAGTAAAAGTAAAGCGAAAATGTTTAATTTCATATATATATCAGTTATTCAATTTGCATAAACAAAAAACAACTGATAATTTGCCTTCTAACGACAAGATGAATTTCTATCTAATTTCATTCTGCTGAATCCTGTCAGTTTCTGCTGGTAAGTATTTAGTGGAAAATTATTAAAATCTATCGACGAATGTTATGAGCACCTATGGTCTACATATTTCATTCTCAAATAAAATGATATGACAAGATTAACGAAAAATATGTAATGCTAACTTGTCAGCATCTTCATTTTTTTTACAGAAATTTAGCCTACGTGTCCTGATGGAAAAATTTATCGATATTGCGAACCTTGCGGTGGTA